ATCCCAAAGAAAATTCCAGAAAATCACATCATATGAATTTATAAAAATTGATAACCATCTGATCAGGAAAAATAAGCATTCTTTGTAAGTGGGCAAACCTGCAAAATCAGCAAGGGCTCAAATACTTATTTCCCCCACTGTACGTATCGGCCGGCAGGAGAAAATGCTGATCCAGAATCCAGATCCAGTTTTTTAAAGTCCATTTAAAATCCATTACTGATGCCGAGTTAATAGACTATTTTCTATTCAGCTTGTTGGTGTGTTTTGCCTTTTTAAAACAGTTTACAATATTACTTGTATTAAGTTCTTCTTGTCTGTTAGTCATGCTTTTTGTTTTTTTCAATCAGACAACAATAATCCACAAGGGTGTATTTTTTACCTTTTTACCTTGTTACCTTTTACAAGGTAAAAAATACACCCTTGTGGATTATTGTTGTCTGACCGAAGAAAACAAAAAGCATGAGTTTACAATATTATTGTCACTTTCTACTGTTCACTGATGCCATTTCCGTTTGTTATTTATAATTTGGTATATTTTGTGTTTATCCCTGATTAAACAGGCCAGTGTCTCTTTACCAACCAGTGTGTGTTATTCAGACTCCCCTAATTCAGCTGGGTAGTTGTTATCAGAATAAATCCCTGTTCAACATGAGTCTGACAGCTAAGTAAGTAGATAAATAACTTTAGACTCTAACACATGCTCTGATAGGCCGGGATCTAGCATTAGCATTAGCATCTGTAACCCACAGGTCTGTGTCCTAACCATTAAGTTGTTATCAGAGCATTAGCATTAGCATTAGCATCTGTAACCCACAGGTCTGTGTTCTAACCATTAAGTTGTTATCAGAGTAAATCCCTGTTCAACATGAGTCTGACAACTAAGTAAGTAGATAAATAACTTTAGACTTTAACAAATGCTCTGATAGGCCTGGATCGGGATCATAAAGCTGGATCAGGACATCCCTAATGTAGATATCTCAGGTTTCTGTTTACCCCAAAAAGCACCTCCAGCCCCTGTGCTCCACCAGAGGAAGTTTGGTTTTAGTGTCTAACCGGACAGGATAGACCACATGCCATTTCAGTTTAAGACTTCTAGGAATGTCAGCAGTTTTTTATTGAACTTTTCATGTTTTTACTACCATTTTCTGGCTGTTCTTATTCTTCTGAATAAGAACAGTAAGAACTCGGTTGCTTTTAAAGTGTTTTACAGATAAGGTAGTAGTAGTTCTATAAAAAGACTCTTTCCTCTGAGGCTCTAACCAGCTTTTACTGAAGTCTTCTTTAAAACCTCCAGCTCCAGATCCAGTTTTTTTCCCAAGTCCGATCCCACAGGACGACCATTAGCATTAGCATCTGTAACCACAGGTCTGTGTCCTAACCATTAAGTTGTTATCAGAGCATTAGCA